TATTAAGACAAAAAGAGCATACTTTTTCCAGGCCATTTGGTTTAATGACTTCATTTGATTTTGAGCAGTTAATTCTAATAGAAAATTACTTGCTGACTGAAAGAGTCCTTCCCCAACTGACTTAAGTATGAAACTGGGGGAACCCAGAGATTGGAAACAAAAAGACACCAGGACTCACACCTCTCCCCTTATGAACAGTGTCTGTAATGGGAAAAGGTATGGAACGCTCCTACAGCACAGTGTCCCACCGTCACCACACTGTGACAGTCGTTTGAAAATTCTGGTCCGGGGTGGGACATTGGCACCCACTGGTCCACGAAGGCCACTTAAAGTCATTGCGACTTTTCTTAGAGATCTCTCACCCCACTACTGACCAGACCCAGCTCTGCTTAGCCTCTGACATCTGACAAAATCAAGCTACAACCATGCTAATTCACCCAAGAATCACATCCCATCAGCTTAGGCAACATGGCTGGAATGCTTGTTCCAGACCCCCACAACCCTTTGTGGAAAAAAGAACATCCTGTGCTCAGTTTTAAGTGCACCTCCTCATTGTTTACCCCTCTGTGCTGTGGTTCCTGTTTCTCTGTTTATCCTGAAGAAGTCCACTGAATGACTTTTCTTTGAAGTTTTTCACATATTTGAAAGAGGTTCCACGTTCTTCTCTGCTTAAGGCTAAAATGTTTTAGTTCTTTAAGGCTATTAATGTGGAATATGCATTTAAGGCTCAGAAAGTATCTGTTTACATTTCTCCGGACTGATGGCAGAGCAGCAATATTATTTTGTAATACAGTCCTCAAAATGTACACAATATTCTAAATATGGTTTTACTGTCGCACCATACATTGAACTTTCCTTGAACTAAATTCTAAACTTTCAAGTACATAGCCTAAAATCCTTTTGCTTTCGCATATTGCTAGATGATGTAAATAATAAATGAGTCAGTTTCATAAATTGCTTCAAGATCAGTTTCCTATCCAGTATCTACTGTATAAACTATATTTTTCTTACCTGCGGTTTTTATTATTATTAACTGCCAGATGTTTGTCTAATCTTGAATTTCGCTAAACCTTTTTATATTTCCATTGTTGTATCTACAGTGTTTCCTAATCCTCCCACATTAGCTTCATATGCAAACTTGACTAGTTTCTATAGCATGGCAATTATAGCAGAATTTTGATCAATATAATCATCCTAATCTAAGCATTCACACGTTGCCTGGATTCTTTCTATGCATTAATATGTTCACAATTTAAATAACTGGTATTTCTTTGAATGTTTATCCATTACTATTTGAGAATTAATCTTCAATGGGGAACATAAAAATATAATATGCTCTGTGTGTGCCCATTACTGCTGATACTTGCTCAAAGAACCTACATACTGTGCCATTTCTAAACCCTGTATTGACTATCTCCTAGAATCCTACTGTCATACAGATGATCTTGTAGTTTACTTCTGTCATCTTCATAACCTTACATGAAATAAAAATAAATGTTATTGATCTATAATTACTTAGTTCAGCGTTGTCACACTTTTTATTGATAGGAACTACAACTGTCTAATCAATGGCTATTATGCCGTTGAGAAACTGATGAGTATAGCTGGCAGCTTAAACATAACATCCAGTATCTTGTTTCAATTTAAGTACATTTCATAGAATACCAACAGGCCCAGGAGATATGTTTATCTTCAGTGCTTCTAGTAACTGTAATACACTGTTTCAATGCTAACATTCTAAAGGGCTTTAAAAATGCAACAACTGAAAATTGAAACCAATAGCATTTTGTGCATTTTTAATGCAATTTTAAACAGATGTTTAATGCTATTTTAATCACTTCTTTAACATATATACTTAATGTACTTGAATGTGATTTTCTCTATGCAACAATTCCTAAACTCTGCACCTTTTAAATATCTGACACCCTTGATAGCCACCTGTTAAACATGTTTTTGACAGACAGACATATCATAATTTGCCTACTAATGCAAATTACTAGCTTCTACGTTTTAAATTTTGTTCCTGGAATTTAGGTAGAAGTACTAAATTTAATAGTCCTTTGACATATTGCTTTTCCCTTCCATATTTTCTTTGAATTCTCCCACCTTCTAATCAATTTGAGAAACTTTAGATCCTTGCCCCAAGCTGACTGATGTCCATTTAGTTCAAAAGTAATCCATCATGTCTGCACAGAATGCCTCTGTTTTTAGCTTCCTGTACAGCCTAGTAATTGTTTGACAGTGCTTGAAACTGTGCTGAATTTAATTCGTGATTCATGGTTTGTAGCTTGTTACATTACATTATTTCATGTACGGTTATTACACTGTTTCTTTTTATTCATTTGAAACCTTATAACTTACTGTACTTTAATCTTGTACTATTCACTTATGTCCTCTTGTTTGGATATTGTGGTATCCATGTGAAGTTAATACATTAACTAAAACTGATAGCTTGATTGATAATAAAACTTTTTCAGCCACAGGTATATCTGTTACATCTGTAAATGCAATCTTAAGGCTTAATTTAATCACCAGACATGTTTCTATCCTATTGATAGTTCTAATCAAGGCATAGCAAACTTGGGGGTGGAGCTCAGAAGAATGTTTTGGTGGGCAATTGCCTTTTAACTATTTTAATATTAACATAGTTGAAAGTGGTATCTACATCTGGTATAAAACATTACGTGTACGGAAATTGAAATGTTAAAACTGTTTTGTATTGCTAGAGTGCAACTGTATTTTATCATGTCAATTAATGATCTGTGCAGAAACACTGTATGAACCAGAACTTCGTGTCCTGTTGTTACCAGTTAATTAAAAATACTTTCTAGAAGCATAAGTAATTTGCTTCAATAATATTTTAATGGTATTTCATGCTAGTCTTTCTTTCCATGAATTACTAAAAGAATTTTCACATTTTTAATATTTTTTTATTTCGATTTTTTGTTCTTTATTTGCCTCTCAATAATAAAATTTCAGAGCTGCTCTCGCCAAAATATCACAAAGCGCATTAGAATCACCACAGCAACTGGCAGATCTGTCTATCAACCCGATCAGGAAGAAGATCAGTTCCACCCGTTAGCACTTAACCTCATGTCTATTGTCTACTCGTCTATTTGTTTGCTCTTGAATCCAGCCTCAAGCCACTGCACGTAGACAACTAAGTGCAGCCTATTAGATAAATAACCTGATTTCTGTTCATATTCCAATTTTGTAAAACAATGTTAACTCGGAAATAATTTAAAACAATACTGCTAACTTTATTCATAATAATAAAGCTAGCTCTAAGACAAAACTACACCTTGATGCCAATGTTATTTCATGTTAAAAAAGAGCTTTTGTGTGTAAACAATAACTTAACAGAAACACATTTAAACACTGCATTTCAATTGTAATACATATTGCATATCGACTAATTTGAAAAATGTAAGTTTTCATCTTTATTATACAGTATGTTGTTTTTTTAATCAACCAGTTTAAAGCAATTGGACTTTGGGAATGTGGGAAGGACAGTGATGATGAGCTGTGCTGGCCAAGCCTGCCCAACCCAGCCCCCTACTACAGACACAGTTTATGTTAGCTTTTCCACCCAGCCTGGCTTATGCCTTCTATTCCACACCATTCACTCGCCCCCTTATCTGACACCTCCAAAGGCTTTGTAAGATTTACTCAAACAGCAAGCCCACACTATTTTCCACACTGGTTCTTTAAAAGGGGTTGCCTCTATATAGTAGACATTTCTGGCCCTCCTCCACACATCCAGCAAAATGTCTGCATATTTGAACATTCCTTCCCAGCCTCCCAGTTAAACAAACGTTACACTTATGAGGATGTTATCCCATCTAAATCCCTTTTCACCTACATTTGACAGTCTGAAACATTTGCTTTTGTCATTATAGGTTATTCTTTACACACGATTGTCAAGCAAGTACTGTATAAAAAGTATTTCAGAACATGATTACTTTGATTCATGATTATTTATTTATTAATTCATGATAACATGATTCAGAACTGGTAGGGCAGCATGGTGTTGCAGTGCTTAGCATTGCTCCCTTGTAGTACTGGGGCCCTTGATTTAATTCCTGGGGTGCTATCGACATGGTATTTGTTTGTTCTCCTGGTGCTCCAGTTTCCTCCCACAGTCCAGACAAACCGGTAGGTTAACTGGCTTCTAGAAAATTGGCTATGCTGTGAGCCTGTGCTGTCTGTGTCAGTGTGCCCTGCAATGGACTGGTGTCCTGTGCAGGATGTATCCTGCCATGTGCCCATTGCTTGCTAGAATAGGCTCCGGCTCCCCCACAGCCCTGCACTGGATAAGGAGTCAGAAAACAGATGGATCAAACATTGTTTCTAATACAATAGAAGGTTTTCAATTTAGAGGTAGAGGTAGAGGTAGTAATTTTAAAATTTGCATTTACCACTAATATACTAGCATCAGATTTCATGTATGGTACCTGTGAGATCCCTAGCTCCCAGTTTCAGACAACACCCCCCGTTTTCACAGTCTTCCTAATCTAATACCACTTGATTTGACCTCTATATGATATTGCCAAGACACAGCCCTATTGTTTTCTATCAACTAAACTTGTTTCATATTCAACCTTGTCATCCCTCTGGGATACCCTCAGCAATGAAAGCTAGATGGTACAAGCCAGCTGATTTTATGTCTTACTTTTTTTTGTGAAAATGCAAGACCTATTTCTCCAACACCACCTCATACAGTGACTTACAGATGTTAATCTTTTACCAGCTTCATTCTGGCACTTATAAAGTATTTCTTTTTTTTTCCCCCCATGTGCGTGAAGAGAGAAACGAAAATGTTCAAAGAAATCCCATTGCAAAAATGAAAATCAATTCTTCATTACTTGCAGACACGCCAAGATTGTTCTGTTCACAAAATGCCTGCCTGTTCCTATCAAGAGGGTGTGATGTGTGGATGTATAGCAATGCATCTCATTAGCCTCTTTTAGCCAGTGTTTGCCGGCCTGCTGTGTGCCTACCTGAATCTCCATGCCCTGCTCCAGCAACCGCTTGGCCTGATTCTCCACCTCCAGCCGAGCTCGTGCAATGAAAAGGAGGTCATTCTCAATCACATCTATTCCAGACAAATCCACTCCCTGAGACAGGTAGTCTGTAACACAGATGGAGAGAGCAGTGGAATATAGCTAGCAAGGTCGTCAAAGCAACAGTTCATTTTTACCTTAACAAAAAGAATTCAAAATAAACGTTAGACTTTTATTGCAAAATAATGTACGCCATTAATGCACTGGTTATTTAATACAAAAGTTACAAAGCCTTTCCACCCTAATGTGTAGCTAAAGATTCAGATAATGGAAAAGACATTTGCAACCTAATCTGTTACTTAACTCCAGGTGGATGCTTTTAATGTAATTGGATGTCAACTTAGCTGGAAAACAAGGTTTATGAGTCAAAACTGAAAATAAAAAGTTTTTTTAAAAAAAAATCAGAATCTTTCCAATAAATTATTCATTAACTTGAAAAAAGACTTACATATATACTAAATATATACTAAAATAATAATATATACTAAAATATATTAATATGTTAATAAAAATACAGAAAGCACTTCCTTTCCATAGATCTTGATACTCTTGAAAAGACAACATGCTTTTCTGGGGAAAAAAACAGAAAAGTACTGAAGTTATAGGATATGTGAGCATATGAGCTTCAATAACATATCTGAATTCTACTAAAACACTTTACTACTACTAAAAGACTAAAAGACTTAACTATGGCAGCCAGGTCACAGTTCTCACAGTCATGTGTTCTTCTAGTTCATATTTGCAAAAAATACAGTAATGCTTTAAATTAATAAATTCCTAATACCTTCTGACGAGTAGATCAGGAAAACCATCATGGGAATTGTGTGGTTCCACGAGGTTCTACAATATTATTACATCATTATAAATGTATCCCAATCCCTGTGATTATTTCTCACACACAGTGTACAGGTAAGACATCAACGTGACATCAATATAAATGAAAACAGTTGAATTCACAATGATGTCACAGTCGTCAGATTCATCATCAAACTGTGAAAATGTGTGGTAGTCAGTCAATAATGTAACTATTTTAAAACACTGCTAAAATTTCTACATTGCATTCCTAAATTGTAGATTAAAATTGTTTTATATAATTTATGTAATTTCAAACTAACCTGAGTAAGAGTATATAATATTAAAATAGACTGCTGGTCTAGTACAGACAGATAAGCATCCCGATCAGAAACCCTTTGAGACAGGATAACGCTACTCAGAAGAAACCACAGCAAACCTGGGATCAATCCTGAGTGATACCATTATTTAGTGAGAGCTACAGCTGTAAGGACCATCTATTTCTGCATCACGTGCAACAGCAAGGACACAAACCCTTACCCCTGAATTACAGAATAAGACAGAGTTCCCCTGCATGCAACTGTAATTATTAAGATTCCTGTGACCTTCAGGCAGAAGTTTTCTTATGAATTTAAGACTGACAGAGCAAATGCATCACTGAGCACTGCAATGTATTTTTGCATTCGCTTTAGCGATGAAAAAATGTTCTTAAACACTTTTTTGTGACAGTAAGCAACTGAACAATTTCAAGCCTTTCGAGTTCAATAAGGAAAGAAGGACTACATTACATGCTGGCCTCCTTAAAAAAACTATTCCTTATCTCCAGTACTCCAGAATCTGATATCAGTGCTTAACACTGTCAATTTCCTCCACATCAGGCATTAGGAATTGTACGTTATTTGTTTTGTTAACATTTCTATATATATACACTATATATTATAAATATATTCATATATAATACATAGAAAAATATTTTTGCAAAGAAGATTCCTTATTATCTTACAAGGCAGAAGAAATTACTGAAATTACTTCAAAGGAAAACAAATTTCCAATCTATTATTATAAGAGTGTCAAGAAATAGCTATTTATAGTACTCAAATACTGCATTTCTAAAAATATTAAAGAATAAACAACGATGGGTTTAAAGTATTTAGCAAGAAACGAGCCAAAGCAAGACCCTGTAAACAGTACGTCATATCACACCTTCAAAACCTGTCAGACACCCCTGCACTTACTTTGTAATTAATACTCCCTTAAACACTTTAGACAAATCAAAATGAAATAATAGAATAATTCAGATGTCTACCATAAACTGTTAATAAATCAAAATTGCAAACATAATGCAAAATGATTTAGGGGCAACAAGTATTAAAGGAAACTATGGGATGGAAATATTATATTGTTCCTTGAAAGTTTAAATGTATTGTAGAAGTCATATTACTATCTTACTAACATCAAACACATTGAGAATAAATACACAACTGTTTTCCAGCTCAATCCACTGGTCATCTTATCTTCTTGATGGCACCCCAATGATGGTGAGCTGAACAATTCTCAGGGTGGGTATTATCAAAAACATTAACAGACACTTATTATGCATGAGCAACCTGTCATTTAGTAAGCAACCTCAGTATGTAATGAAATTACTATTTGTAACAACTTAATAGAACAGTAATTTAATATTAAAACAAGTTTAAAGAGAAAAAATAAAAAACTAAAAACATACATGTTACAAATAACAGGAGGTAAGATTACTCATCTATCTTTTGATTGCTAGATGCGTAGTTACCAATGACCACACAGTCACTTCTTGAAAGAAGGAAGAGTGTCTCCAACAATTCTTTGCATAAAGTGTTATCTTTGTGTTCTCACTTTTAAATGCTTTCCTGTGTTGTAACAAATTTGCATTATTAAAGTAAAGCCTTACCTTAAGAATTGAGGTGATGCCTCATGAAAAAAAACAATTGACTGACATCTCTCTCTCTTAGTTTAATTAAGTTCATCTGCTCATTAGTGTCTAAAACGTATAAAAAAGCTGCCTATTTGAAAGCAGTACCTTTGTGGAGGACAGGTAAAAAACAGTGAGTGACATTAGGCGTCAGGTTTTGCTTTAACTAGCTTTAAAATGAAGACAGTCAGGAGGATTTTTCCTGAAATCTAGCTCATTACTAGAGACAAATCCTAATGTTTCATGGTTGCATTTAACTATAGTTTGGATTTTAGGTTTGGTTTTCATTGTGGGTATGTATAATAAGAGTCAATCAAGGACAGAATCCTTTCTTTCAAAAATATTTTTCAGATCAATGCTTACGGTCAATGCTTGACCTTCAGAGGTCCGTAGAGGCAACATCCAGCTGACTCCAATATACAGGTGCAGCTACAGCTGCCGGGGTAAAACCCACTGATAGGATTGTCCTGAAATGGAGTTCGGAAGCTCTTTCCATGGACTGTCGTTATTCCATATATTGTACAAACTGTTCTAAAGTTTGGTATAATTTATTGTGAGCAGGTTTTGTTCACGTTGAGCGAAAGGTCGCCACCACCGCCCGTCCTTTTCCTAATCACTTTATGTACAATTCAGAACTGCGGGGGAGACGGAGCCTGTCCTGGCATCTCTTCAGCAGTGGGGCAAGGAGGAGACACCCTGGAAGTGACGCCAGTCCATCGCAGGGTGAAACAAGACAGTTTTCCCAGCAGCCAATCGACCTACAAGTACATCTTTAGACTAGGGGAGACAACCGGAGTACCCCAGAGAATGCCCACATGAACATGGGGAGAACAGATAAACTCCACGCAGACAGCACTCCAGGAAATGAACCCAGGGCCCTATAACTGCGAGGCAGCAATGCCAACCACTGTGCCGCCCATCGCCATTATTGATTTCTAAATATAGATTACATGTTTAATGACATTTACCTGGTCTGTTTTATGCGTGTTGGCACTGGATTAAGAATATCCCGTGACCATTAAAACCTATATTTGCTCTCTGGTATGTGTTTCACTATTGATTATGAATAAGTCAACCGGGATGACTTTGAGAATGCCTTTGAAGACTTTTAACCCTGGAACCAGGTTTCCTTATCATCCTTTCTGCTTAAAACTAAACATGTCGATGCAGCAATATTATGGTGACCAAAATTCTTTGCTTCCCATATTGGCAAAAGGATATATTACTGCCCTATTTACTGTATATTGACGTCTTTTTTGGAATGTGGCACCCAAACCTGTATGCAATATTCTATATGAGGTCTTATAAGCACATTACACATTTAATATACAGTAACCAACCAAGTTTAGCACTTCCAACTATACATCTTAAAATTCTGTTAGCTTTGTATTTTCTTAATCAAGTTGTACTGAAGACAACAGAATGTTTATGCCAAGTCTTTTTCTAAGCAAAATATTTTTTATAATTGCTTTAAATATAATTCCATTTGACTACAATAAATATTATCATCACGTTTTTGCCCAGTCTTGAAATGCACCTATTTTTTTTAAATTAATTTGCTGTTTCTATTGTGTTTACTAATTCTCATATTTGGGCATTATATGCAAACCTGACTAATTCTTGATACTAGAATCTAGAATATTGGTATATATTAGGAAGAACAATGTTTGTAATACAGGTCCCTAAGGTATTCAATTTATTACAAAACCCCACTTTGTACAATCACTCCTTATCTGTACTTGGTTTCCAATCTATTAACTGGTTCTTAATCCTAAAGACAAGCATTATTTCAAGGCTATTGCTTGCCTATAAACCTACATTACTACTGCCTGCAATTTTACAAATAATCTGGACCACATTCATTAGGTACTCTGTGACCGTGGACATTTTTAAGTCTTGCTTGAAGAACTACTTTTTTTACTGTAGTTTTCCTTGCACCCTTCTGTTGTATTTGGTCATTTCACTGTTTTTTATGCAGTATTATGCATGTACTGTCGTAGTACACTTTGAGATTTTTTTAAATGTGCTCATAAATGAACGTCATTAGTATTTAAGTACAAATCGTGTATCACAATGGATTTGGAAGGTGTAGGTTTTTAATCAGACATCTGCGAGGCACAGCATATTCTTATGACACACATGCAGCCTTAAGAGCGATTCCTATTGAAACCCCTTTAAAACATTTATTTGATAGCGGAAGCCAGTATTATTCGTGGCAAAGTGTTTGGGAAATGACAGTAATGAAGTGGAGCATCACAAACCGTTACACAGGGTGTCGAACGTCATTCCCCTCTCAATTTGCTGCACCATATGTCACGAATGGGCCAA